GTCCGCCAGGTCTTTCTCTGGAAGAAGCTGGCGGTGCCTCGCGCCAACCAGCTCTGGCAGCTCAGCCCGGCGGAGCCTCGGCGTGTGGAGACCTCATCTGTGGTTTGGACCTTGGGGGAACCTGAGAGGAGAAGTCTTGGTTTCTCAAGATGGAGTTCGGAGCAACCCTTTTGGGTTTTTAACAAGGCCGAGCCCCGCTCCAATCGGTTCCAATGGTAAAAAAAGTCCTCAAAGGATAGCTCTCCGCCCAGGGAGCCGCGCATGCCGCCGCTTCATTGGCCAACCAGCAGCGGTTCCTGCGGATTTCGAAGGCAGGCCTTTCTGCCGCAGACACCCCGCAGCCGTGCCTGATGAAGGAGCACGAGGCCGGGCGAAGCGGATTTTGAACTAGCCATGAAAGAGGGATGTTGCGAGAAGGAGATACGGGCGGATTTCTGGGCGTCGAGGTTGCACGTTTGATTTCAACTCCTGGTTGCACCGTTGAAACAGGGCCCAACCTCTGCTGCAGGACTGGATCCTGGCGCATGGGGGCGCTGCCGTCAATGCGCCTGAGAGAGGAGTTGGCAACGGGCGGTTCCTCGAGGTTTATCCCGGGAGCGCCCTGCCATTTCACTTTGTGCCGATTCCCTGTTAAAGCCGTCGGTCGTGAGCAGTGACCGACGTCACTAAGTTGTACACCTTGAATTGCATGCGCAAAGCATCAAGCGATGCTCTTCAGATTGCCAGGATTAGGCCAAACGTAGAGCTTCTGCATTGCACATCTTTGCCCATGTGTTGGTGCCTTCTGAATGAGTGTCAGTTGCCATGACGCTGCGGAGCAGTGGATCTCATGCTTGTACAGCAAACGCAGCGGAAAGAAATGCAGACACAGGGCTGGGCGATGGCAAGGCAGCTGTCTCATTTCCACTGTCACTTTAGAGCCTCCGGCTCAGTCCGCCGACATTGACCTCTCCCTTTTCTCTCCCCCCCCCCCCTTTTCCTTCCCTCCCTCCTGTCCTTCCCTCCTCTCCCTCCTTCCTCTCCCTTCCTCCTGTCCTTCCCCCTCCCTCCTCTCTCTCTCTCTCTCTCTCTCTCTCTCTCTCTCTCTCTCTCTCTCTTTCTCTCTCCTCCCCATCTCCCCTCGCTCTCTCTCTCTTTCTCTCTCCTCCCCATCTCCTCTCTCTCTCTCTCTCTTTCTCTCTCTCTCTCTCCTCCCCATCTCCTCTTTTTCTCTCTCTCTCTCTCTGTCTCTTGCTCTCTCTCTCTCTCTCTTTCTCTCTCCTCCCCATCTCCGCTCGCTCTCTCTCTCTTTCTCTCTCCTCCCCATCTCCTCTCTCTCTCTTTCTCTCTTTCTCTCTCTCTCTTTCTCTCTCTCTCCTCTCTCTCTCTCTCTCTGTCTCCTCTCTCTCTCTCCTCTCTCTCTCCTCTCTGTCTCTCTCCTCTCTCTCTCCTCTCTCTCTCTCTCTCTCTCCTCTCTCTCTCTCTCTCTCTCTCTCTCTCTCTCTCTCTCTCTCTCTCTCTCTCTCTCTCTCTCTCTCTCTCTCTCTCTCTCTCTCTCTCTCTCTCCCTACCCCCCTCTCTCTGCCTCTCTCTCTTCCCCCCCCCCCCCCGCACTCTCTCTCTCTCTACCCCCTTGATTGCCCCTTCATTTCCCTTTCATTTCCTTTTCATGTCCCGTCATGTCCCATCCTTTCCTCGGGATGTCCCCTTCATTTCCTTTCAATTCCACCTTCATTTCCCTGTCATTGTCTCTTTATGTTTGCTTAATTGTCCATTTATGTCCCACTCATTGCCAGTCATTTCCCTACATCTCCCTTCGTGTCCGTTGATTTCCTCGTCGCTGTCTGTTGTTTCCCTTGGGTTCCTCTTCATTCCCTCTTCATTTCCCTTGCATTTCTCATTCCCTTCCCCTTCATTTCCTGTTGAGTTCCTCTTTGTCTCCCTTTCATTTCCCTTGATATCTTGTCATTGCCTGAGCACCTGGTGGCAATGGTGAAGCAATGCCTCTGGGAACTTGCCGAGGACGAGCAGCAGTTCCCTAAGCGCTACGCAGGAGCTAGTCCTGCACCTGCAGAACAGCATCGCTGACGGCGCTGCGCACCGCTGTGGGGACAACCCTTCGCGGCAGTTGCGGCGGGGAGGTTAGGATGCCACGCATCCCGGGGAGGCCGACTCGTGTAGCGGCCATGTTGGTTTGGCAAGTATGAGGATGCAGTTGCCTCAGACTCGAGTTTCCCACTCAGTCGTAGTGTTTCGTTCGTTAGGCAGCGAGCCCAGAAGCACGAGCGCATTTATGGAGCTCAGAAATGCTATCCTCCATGTTGGAGGCGCAGATGTATGCAGCAATCTCAGCAGTATCATCTCCGTGTCGGTAAGGTTCGTGATAAGAATTATGATACCGCGACGTTTTGGAGCGCGGTGCATGTACTACTGGAATCACGAAGCAGCGCTGGCCTGGACCCAAGCCGTTGTTTCGTCGCGCACGGAGCCGAGGGAGGGCGTACGCCTGATTGCGGGGCAAACACCGGCGGCATTCAGGGACTAGGAGATGTCTGTGGTATGGGCCAGCGATTTTGTCAGGACAACGCGGCAACCTCAGCATTTAGTTAGGACGCGCAGCGCATGAGGGCGCAGAGCGCATTGACTCAGGTGGTGGGTCGACGACGTCTTGAGGACGCACACAAGGCTCGAAAGGAAGGTGGAGGAAAGGAAGAGGCGTAACATATCGGCACGCCAGGCGCGCAGGGTGCTTTCCTATTTGCGTCCCTTTGGAATTGTCCCCTTGCCCCCCTTCCCCTCTAAGATTCTTGCCCCCCTTTCTTTGTTGAGATCCATTCCCCCTTTCTAAGGCCCTTTCTCCCTCTGAGATTTCCCTTTTCCTCCCTAAGATGTTTTCCCCCCTCTCCCTGTTGAGATCCTTTCCCCCCTTTCCCCTCTAAGGCCTTTTTCCTCCCTGAAATCTTCTCCCTTTTCCTCCCAAACATCTTTTCTCCCTGTCCCTATTGAGATCCTTCCACCCTGAGTTCTTCTCCCTTTTCCTCCCAAAGATCTTCCCCCCCTTTCCCCCCTAATACCTTTTCCCCCCCTGAGATCTTTTCCCTTTCCTCCCCCCCCTTTCCCTTTCATTGTTGAGATCCTTTCCCCCCTTTCCCCCCTAACAACCTTTCCCCCGCTGAGATCTTCTCCCTATTCCTCCCTGAGATCCTTTGCCCCCTTTCCCTGTTGAGATCCTTTCCCCCCTTCCCCTTAAGGCCTTTCCAGATCTTCCCCTTTTCCTTCCTAAGATTTCCCCACCCTTCCCACCCTTTCCCCCCTGAGAGCTTTTTTTTCCCCTTTCCTTGTGGCCTTTTTTCCCCCCTTTCCTCCCTGAGATCTTTCCTTCCCTGCTGAGATCCTTTCCCCCCTTTCCCCCCTAAGGCCTTTCCCCCCCTGAGATCTTCTCCCTTTTCCTCCCTAAGATCTTTTGCCACCTTTGCCTGTTGAGATCCTTTCCCCCCTTTCCCCTGTAAGGCCTTTCCCCCCCTGAGATCTTCTCCCTTTTCCTCCCCAAGATCTTTCCCCCGGTTGAGATCCTTTCCCCCTTTCCCCCCAAGATCTTCTCCCTTTTCCTCCCTAAGATCTTTTCTCCCTGTCCCTGTTGAGATCCTTTCCCCCCCTTCCCCCCTAAGGCCTTTTCAGATCTTCTCCCTTTTCCTCCCTAAGATCCTTTGCCCCCTTTAGCTGTTGAGATCCTTTCCCCCTTTCCCCCCTTAGGCTTTTCCTTCCTGAGATCAAAAGGCCTTTCTCTCCCCTGAGATCCCCTCGCTTTTCGATCCTTTCAGCCTTTCCCCCCCCCCTGAGATCTCCCTTTTCCTCCCTGAATTTTCTTGCGCGCAGCCTTAAAGTCAAAGCTAGCGCCCATGAAGGAGGCATGCGTGTCTCCCGGCATGAATGGGCAGAGCATCTGCCCCCCAAGCTGACCCTGGAGGTTGTCCAGGTTGAGATGTTTTCCCCCCTTTCCCTGCTGAGGTCCCCTGAGGCCTTTTCCCCCCTGAGATCTTCTCCCTTTTCCTTTCTAAGATCCTTTCCCACCTTTCTTTATTGAGATCCTTTCCCACCTGTCCCCCCTAAGGCCTTTTCCCACCCTGAGTTCTTCTTCCTTTTCCTCCCTAAGATCTGTTCCCCCCTTTCCCGCTTAAGATCCTTTCCCCCGTTTCCCCCCTAAGGCCTTTCCCCCCTTCCCCCTAAGGCCTTTCCAGATCTTCTCCCTTTTCCTCCCTAAGGTATTTTCCCCCCTTTCCTTGTTGAGAAAGATCAATCCCCCCTTTCCCTGTTGGCCTTTTTTCCCCCAGATCTTCTCCGTTTCCTCCCTAAGATCTTTTCCACCCCTTTCCCTGTTGAGATTATTTCTCCCCTTTCCCCCCTAAGGCCTTTTCTCCCCAGATCTTCTGCCTTTCCTCCCTGAGATCTTCCCCCCCCCCTTTCCCTTTTCCCTGTTGAGATCCTTTCCCCCCTTTCCCCTGTAAGGCCTTTCCCCCCCTGAGATCTTCTCCCTTTTCCTCCCTCAGATCTTTTGCCACCTTTCCCTGTTGAGATCCTTTCCCCCCTTTCCCTAAGGCCTTTTCCCCCCCTGTGAGATCTTCCCCTTTTCCCTGTTGAGATCCTTTCCCCCCTTTCCCCTGTAAGGCCTTTCCCCCCCTGAGATCTTCTGCCTTTTCCTCCCGAGGATCTTTTCTCCTTGTCCCTGTTGAGATCCTTTCCCCCTTTTTTCTCTCCTAAGGTTTTTCTCCCCCTGAGATCTGTCGCACCACCTTTCAGAAACTCTGGAACGGTTCGATTGCCGTATAAATAGCAAGAAACGTTATGGTATTTCATTTCCATGGTTCCATTCCGCGGTGCGATTTCTGGATTTCGCAACCATCCGTACCGTACGGCAATTGGGTTTTGGTCCTCAACTGGTTGCTTGGGGCCAATGAAGAGAAAGATAACACGGCCAACTGCTGTTGGGCCAAAAAATCCAGGCAACCGCGGCGCAACCGCAGGCGCTCAAAGAGAGAGGCGACCCTCGCGGAGCCTACGCCTGGCACCCCAGTTTCTGGCAGGGGTCCGTGGTTTAGAAGTTAGTGCGGCGTGGCGTTTTTTTGGTTCATAGGCCCGGCTATGGATGAGGTGTTTTTGCTTTCCCCTAGGGCTGGTTGTTCTCAGGTCGTTTTTGGGCTGGCTGGCTGCTTGGTGGGGTTGGTCGGTCGGTTGGTTGGCCGTCCTTCCGGCTATCCCAACAGTCAAGGGATGCGACGGGTGGTTGTGAGTTCAAAACCCGAGTAGATGAAGGATATCAAGGGACAGTCCCGCCAGAAATTGTCGCCTTTCAAGTTCTGTACGTGGTTTGGGTAGACCCTTTCTGTACCAAATCTGATTGCGACTCACGTGGAAACAGAAGAATAGCTTGAACAAACATCCACGAACTGCAACAAGAACCACATAAAGCATACTACCTGGTCATATGGCTGGGGGTCAAAACCAATGGTACCATTTTGGGGTGGGTGCACCACCCATGCTGGTCTATTTTAGTGGTTGGATTGGCATGTTCACTGGGGGTACGATTTGGATTTTGACCCATGGCCATATAATGCTCAATGCATGGCAGCGCTTTCAAACCTGTGACATCGACTGAGGAGAAGTTCTACCAGGGGCTGCAGCATGTCCGACGTGTTTTGCAAAGGCTTTGGGCCCTGGGGCAAAAGACATGGACTTTACGCTGAGCCAAGCACCGCGCGAAGGTGTTTGCGCGGTCTGGGGGGAGGCAGTGCTTTATGGTTGAAGCAGCACAGATTTCCGAATCGGACCCACAAGTGATTCACTTTTTGCAGAGGGGTCGTTACAGCAGAATTGCTTCCAGCAGGTTTTGACCTGGCTCGAGCCAGGTATTTGCTGAAGGTGATGCCTGGCTTAGGCCAGAACGCGGCGATGGATCAGAAAAGCTGTATGGTTTCAGACCCTGGGGGAGTAATGTGCCGATTGGATATGCGTTTGGACAGATGTGGCAAGAGCGGCCAAACGCGATAAGTTGATGCTCATGCTCTAAACCAAGACCGACCTGCACCCCTAAAATGTCGGTAAAAGATTCGTGCGGTTGGTGGAAACCAGAAAGATCGCACCCCTTCCTGAAGAGATTTGTTCAATGGCAATAGTGTTCGCATGTTTTCGCATTTGAGATCGGCTCATGTTGTCCGCATATGAAGATGTTGTTTCTCAACATAACCGAGGATGCCCTTTTCGGATGGTTCATTGGAAGTGAAAAAGGCGCCAATCCTGGGCTATCGCGACCAAGCCGCCGCTTGGCGTGCTTTTTCTCACCAGGCGAAGCCAACTCCCCGGCGGTGCTGGCGCTCAAGGCGAACATCCACGGCTACTTGGATGAGGCCCGGCGGAGTTTTTTCTTTTCTGCTTGGGAATCGTGCAAAGATACACCTCACGCAGATCCATGAAGCATGCCCTTTGGATTGGTTTCCAGTGCTCCACGGATTTTCCAGCCAGTTTCAGTCAAGGAGCTGAGCCTGAATTACATGCATCACACGCAGATCCATGAAGCATGCCCTTTGCTCGCAGACCGAGAAGCTGAAAATGGCCTTGGATTCTGGCCAGGCGCGATCAGACCAAAGAAGCATTGGAGGGACTTCCTTGCATGGATAGTTTGTGCAATCTGCCACAGGGATGCGCTGCGGGTTTTGGGCATGCCGCCGTTCATGTACGGTTTTGCGACTAGAACACTCCGGATACGCAACTGCAATATATGTATATATATATATATGCCCGTCAGGCTCACCAAGCTCCACTGCCTGCGTGCTACTCAAGTTCAGCTGGAGCTGGGTGAGCGCAGACACGTTTCCCAGGGGCAACTTCTGGATGTCGTTTGGAGAGACTCCCTGTCAGCTGGTAAAGTGCAAAAACTTCGCGCGCAGAGCTGCGACCGAGGCCTTGGAAGATCAGGAAGAGCTCAGCATTGAGCGGCGCATTGAGCGGGGGATGCCAAGAGGACTTGCGTGAGGTGTGGGTAAGGGTACGGAATGGTGAAGATTGGCAGACAACCTTTGCTTGAAACTTGGCGCCTGCAGCTGCTACGACAAACTGGTGTCAACCAGCCTGTCTGTGCGAAACGAAACAATCGGAAGCATTGTTTTCCCCATTCCCGCAGCTCCTTGTGATCATTCAAGCGTGGGGAAGGCAGGGTTTCGGCGGCCGGTGGGCTTTCGCCAGGTGTTCAGGAGAGACATCATCTTGGACACCCTTCCTTTCCACCTTTCCAAGGGGTTCAATAAGTTTCTGGGATGGGTTTCTCCAACAAAATGCCATCCTTTGGGTCGGTGTCTCCTTCTCGGGTTTTTGTTTCCCTCCCGAGGCGCGGGGAGGCCTTGATGCTGGCGGGCCAGCGCTTGGCGCGAAGCAGCAAGCTGGGGGAGGCGGCCGATATGATGTGTCTTGGTGGCTCCCAGCCATCCGGTTCCTTAGCTTTTTGGCCTTTTGGTGTCTAGTGGCTTGGTTTCCATTTAACCCACTGAAAGTTAGTCACTTTTAGCGGGGGATCTGAGGGCAGATGTGTGGCTTCTTTTTGAGTCGAAATGTACACTTCCTCCCAACAGAAGGCACTTGTCGGAGGGTAGCTGGAAGATCAAAAAACCTCTGGAAGGGACCAATTCTCAATTTTTTGTCCGGTCCCTGTCCGGTGCCACGTTAGTGGGGAGCCAAAAGGAAACCACCCATGGGCCACAAGTCCTGGTATGTTTTCAATGTTCAGCTGGAGAGCCCCTGATGCTGGAGTGTGCAATGATGCGGCTTCTATGCGGGCCTAAACCTCTCAGGGGCTGGAGAGGTTGAGGCCTTATGGCTTAAATAGGAGCCAATTTGGGCTCCCTCCCCCCTCCCCTCCCTTTGCCCATGAAAAAGTCGCATCCTTCGGCTTCAAGTCTTTCGGGGATCGGAGCGGCGGAATCGACGACCAGGAACACGATCAGAAGGGACCTCTGTGGGCCCCAGGATTAGCTTGCAGAGATTGCATCCGGAGCGAGTTTGTGGTAGCAGATGTTTGCAGAGTGTGTTTAGTTGAAACAAGTATCCAAAGAAACCTTGTGCAACAACATCCCTACTCCCCCCCTTACTAGATTAATTCTAGTAGTCAGTATACCGCGCAGTACCCACTATTGCATCCCCTCTGACAAACTGATTTGCACCACCCATAGCGCCATGAAAGTGGTGTCTTCTGCGCGGAAGACTTCTCGCAACATGCGCCCAAGCAAATCGATGACAGACGTCTGCTCGCCAGAGGTTTTTCTCGCCGAGGCTCAGGGCCTTTTTGGGGAGCCGCTTCTCGGCTCGTGCCAGGCCTACGACAAATACTGCGCGGGCTTGAAACTCCTGCTGGAGGCCACTTGGGGGCTGATCCAAAGGTCCGTTGGGATGAGCATCGGTTGGAAAACCACTCACCTCTGGCTGTGGGTCAAAACGCAGGAAACCCCTGGTGAACATCAAAATGGGTGTGGATGTTCATCCACCCCCAAAATGGAGCTATGCCGGTTATGCCCCATGGCCATATATGACATTTCCTAAGCAATCGGCAGAGTTACCCTTTTTGGGGGCCAGGAACATTGAACCCCCACTTCGCTTTTGATCACCGCTGCGTGGGTACATGACCGGAGCGCGCAGAAAGCCGGAGCGCGGAGCGTGTTGTGGCCAGGTGATGCCGCAACTGCGGGAGGACTGGCCCATGTGTCGCAGCCCGGGCAAGGAACATGCGATGGGAAGTACTTGGAGGGTTTGGAGGTCAAGAGCCCACCGGGACGGATCTCCAGGCAGAGTTTCTAGACCTCAATTTGTTGCAGATGTGCGAGTTGGCTTCAAAGCCTCCGAGCGGTGCAAAGGTCGCTCGTGGCGGTTGTTTGTGATGGTTGCAGCATGTGAAAGACGAGAGACGTAGGTCTTCCACCAGACGTGGAGCCATTTGGCAGAGAGCAGAATGTTTGGCGAGGAGGATGCTCAAGCTTCGCGACTGAGATCAAAGATCAGTGGATATCTTGAGGAGGCGCGGATTTGGCACCAACTATGTTCAGTTTCCAGAATTGGTGCATCATCGCTCAGAGGTTCCGTTTAACCTAAACGTGGGCTAACACAAGACTACATGGGTCATTTCCCAACACACGTGGGTAGTTTTTGATTTGGAACCTGTTTTGGTGGGAGCTGAGGTATCCCTTCTGCCAGCCAACAAACTTTCCTGCTAGCACATTTTCAGACAGCTACCCAGCGACCGAACACCAACGACCCAAGCATATTGCTAGGCTTGATTTGATGGCCGAAGATTGTTCGAAGATTGCTCAGAGTTTGGCCAGTACTCACAGGTTTGATGAATGGGGCATTCATCATGAAATCAGTTTATAGCTGTTTGCGCGAACTTTGTGCCCGAAAACCTACGTACTGGACCATGACCACCCCAACATATGCTGCTCAGGATGGCATAACACAAGTGGAGCGCATCCTTACATTGTCTCCTCAGGGGCTTAAGCAGGACAGCACGGGAGACGGAATGCACGGGCCGTGGACGAAGCTTTTCCGCAGGCAGAGCGACTGAAAGAAAGAAGAGACAGAGTGGCAGAGGGCGCTGGGCTCAGTCTTGGCCTTCTTGCACTGTGGGTTCCTGTGGCGACTGCCCTCAATCCCTTCGCTTGCGAGGACTTGAGTCGACAAAGTGCGCTTCCTTGTACCCCGGCTTTTGCGTTCAATGACACTAGCACATATCTATATATACATATATACACACCTGTATATATATATATATAGATCTCTATATATAATATATATGTCTATGTATAACAATCAAATCCACACTTTGGATCACTGGAACTTTGTCAACAGGTGAATCAACGCTTCTGAAATTAGTCGGATCATTTGACCACCGACTCTGAGATTCTTGTTTCAAGAAGTTCATGGTGTCCATACATGCATGAGTGTATGAGTGTATGAGTGTATGAGTGTGTGTGTGGGTTTGTTTGCTTGCTTGCTTGCTTGTTTGTCTGTCTGTCTGTCTGTCTGTTTGTTTGTTTGTTTGTTTGTTTGTTTGTTTGTTTGTTTGTTTGTTTTTGAGTGTGCTTGTTTTTAGTTTTTTTTTGTGTGTTTGTTTGTCTTTGCCGGGTTGTGTTTGCTTGGCTTTGCGTTTGCAGGGTCTTCCTGATCCGAGGATTCCGAGGATGATGAGTGCTGCGGACTTCTGGAGCGCATGAAAGCCAAAGGTCTGCTTTGGCCAGAGAGATTGACAAAGGCACAGCTGAAACTGCAGCATCTTGTGTGCCCTAGCACGAGCCGGAAAGAGTCAACCCCTGACTAAAGATGCTTTAATCCTAAATTCTAACTTCAACATTGAAACCCTCCACCCTACAGTAAGTTTGCGCAGCAACACGCATGAACCACGACCAAAAGTGAATGTTGTGTCGTTTCAGACGCAGGCGGCGGACGCCGAACACCAAGCGGGGGACGTGCCGATGTCAGGCGCCGGAGGAGAAGTGGACATAGAGCAGCTGAGGCGCAGGATGGTGTTTTCGCACCTGCACGCAGCTGGCACGGCCTTCATGTTGCACGGCCCCTCTTTGGGCAACTGCTGGGCGTCTCGGGACGCGAGAGAGTCATTAGTTGATTTGTTTGAGCAGCGGCAATGCCGGCGCAGTTTGGATGAAGACCTCATCAGGCCGCCGCCTGCCGGCGCATTGTGCGTTATTAATATTGCCCGCGAGGTCCGCCACACGATCCGCGCAATGTTGAGACGTAGCCTGTTTCCGAATTGGCTCATGCAGTCCAAGGACAGAGGCAAGGCTCGGACGCAAAGCTCAGAGTCAGGCTATTACGAAGCTGGCAACATGGTGTGGGAGGCCCTGTACTGGCTCGGCGGCCTCTACATGTTGCCCTTCGGCTCAGGCCTGGTTGAGGACCGGTGGCGGAATATGCGCATGCCAACTGACGCATATGGGACCGGCAGCAACAAATCGATCGAATCGCTGTTTGGGATTCTTTTCGCAAAATTGCGCACTGATGAGCAGCAGAGCGGACGTGGCAAACGCAAACGAAAGATGTGAACGACCCCGGACTCTTGCGCCTGATTGGTAAAAGGCTTTGCGCACGTCCTGGGGTCGTCATGGAGGAAGCATTTTAATTTTAGTTCTCGTGGCAGGGGCAGAATTGGCTTTGTCCATTCACACGCGCATCTGTCCGCACTGAAAACACGTGGCCCCTGGTTCAGTTGTTGTTGCTGTTGTCGTAGTCGTCGTTCGATCGGGTTTGTTCAGGGCCAGATCAGTGTGTGGTCGTTTTTTTCGTCGGCGCGGGGTCGGCATAGGGTTGGATTAGGGTGGAGAGTCGGTTTCAGGGGTGTCTTTTGGGCAGGCCACAGTGGGGGGGCTTCGGATTGCTTCAGGGCCATGGATAAGTGTAGGGTCGGTTTAGGGTTCCCGCAAGCGACTCCAGTTAGTCTGCTTCTAGCTGCAGCTGCATCATCATTTGCCAGCTCTTCGCTCGAAGCAAGTTTAGAAGTTTGTTGTAGGCTTTGTTTTCAGAGCCGGGCACGCACGACAATGTCTAGCCCAACTGCCGGAGCAACAGCATCAACGACCAGAACAGCAACAAGAGCACAGCATCTGCAACAGCAGCAACAACAGCGACAAGAGCAACCGCAGCAGCATCGGCAGTTTCACTGCCCAACCCTCCATGTAAGAAGCGTTGCAAGCGCTGGTGGCGAGGGAAGAACAGGCAAAGGAGGAAGAAGAGGAAGAGAAGCAGGGGCTCCAGCTGAAATTTTGGGCTCCAGCTGAAATTCCAGATTCCGGCTGTGCATACAGGCTCTATCTGGTCTAGGTGATGCGGGTCGACAGGCAAGCTCGAGCTGCTGCTAACACACTGCTGCGAGACCTAGAGGAGCTACGGCGTATGCGTTGGGCTACTTGTGACGCCAACTTGGAGTCGGAATTCGAGGCACACTTTGAGGATGAACGCATTTACGAGGTGCTATACTTTTTGCTGTCCATTCTGCAGCTCCAAATTTTGGCTGGCGAGCAGGTTTTGCGGCTCAAAACAGCCGTCCCACCGGGAGTGGTTGCACCGGTCGATTATACTAACATCCCGGATGTGTGTGCCAGGCTTGCCGGAGGGTCCGATTTTCAGGACCAGAAATCTGAGGAGCTGCTGTCAACGCAGCTGGAGCTCGCCAAGCAGGGCGTTCGACAAGGTGTTGGATCTGCGTCAGCCTCGGTTGCTGCAGGGTCGGCATCAGAGCAGCAGCGGCAGCCGCAGCAGAAATCGCTGGATTGGGAGGTTTTCGATCGTCTGGTGTATTCAGAGCTTGTGGAGCCTCTGCTGAAGGACGTACTCTTGCACCAAGCATGATCGCTGCTGGCCACAGCTGGTCTTGGTGGCAGGAATGGATTGCTCCTGTCATCACGGCTGACCAAGTTTACCAGCACATGGGACAGGGAGGAAAGAAGCGGGCTGCAGATAGTCTTCGCCACGTCAAGGAGATGCTCAAGCAGCGTTTTGCTGCAGATGGCGATACTGGGTCAGAAAGTGAATGTTCGCTGCAGGGTCTTCCTGATCCGAGGATTCCGAGGATGATGAGTGCTGCGGACTTTCTGGAGCGCATGAAAGCCAAAGGTCTGCGTTGGCAAGAGAGAGTGACAGAGGCACAGCTGAAACTGCAGCATCTTGTGTGCCCTAGCACGAGCCGGAAAGAGTCAACCCCTGACTAAAGATGCTTTAATCCTAAATTCTAACTTCAAAATTGAAACCCTCCACCCTACAGTAAGTTTGCACAGCAACACGCATGAAACACGACCAAAAGTGAATGTTGTGTCGTTTCAGACGCCCAAGCGGGGGACGTGCCGATGTCAGGCGCCGGAGGAGAAGTGCAGCCGAAGGTAGACATACAGCAGCTGAGGCGCAGGATGGTGTTTTCGCACCTGCACGCAGCTGGCACGGCCTTTATGTTGCACGGCCCCTCTTTGGACAACTGCTGGGCGTCTCGGGACGCGAGAAAGTCATCAGGTGCCTTGTTTGAGCAGTGGTCAAGGATTCCCAAAATTAGGGGTGTGTAAGTTTTGGCAGCGAGGCGCTTCGCCCCTGTCCTGTTGGGTTTGTTCCTGGCACTGAGGCGTGTCGTCCGTGCCAGGACAGGTTGAAGGACTTCCAAAATTAGAGGTGTGAAACTTTGGCAGTGAGGCGCTTCGCCCCCGTCCTGTTGGGTTCGTTCCTGGCACTGAGGCGCTTCGCCCGTGTCAGGAAAGGTCGAAGAATTCCCAAAACCTAGAGAACCCTGCCCCCCAAACCCGAGACCCAAACCCCACACCCTAACACCCTAAACTCTAAACCGCTTCGGTCGTGGCATGAAAGGTCAAGGATTCCCAAAATTAGGGGTGTGTAAGTTTTGGCAGCGAGGCGCTTCGCCCCTGTCCTGTTGGGTTTGTTCCTGGCACTGAGGCGTGTCGTCCGTGCCAGGCAAGGTGGAAGGATTTCCAAAATTAGAGGTGTGTAACTTTGGCAGTGAGGCGCTTCGCCCCTGTCCTGTTGGGTTCGTTCCTGGCCTGTCCTGTTGGGTTCGTTCCTAGTGGGGGGGCTTCGGATTGCTTCAGGGCCGTGGATAAGTGTAGGGTCGGTTTAGGGTTCCCGCAAGCGACTCCAGTTAGTCTGCTTCTAGCTGCAGCTGCATCATCATTTGCCAGCTCTTCGCTCGAAGCAAGTTTAGAAGTTTGTTGTAGGCTTTGTTTTCAGAGCCGGGCACGCACCACGAGAGCGATCTCCGGATTCCTCGCTCACTCAGTCACTCCCCGAGTTTTTTTCGGACTTTTGTCAGCTTAGATGAGAGCAGCTGTTCGGTCCCAGACGCCCAAGCGCACTAGGCTCAAACTCGCTCAAGCGCCCATCGCTTCCAACGCTCCAGCTCTGGTGACATGGCAGTGGAAGGAGTGAAGACACTGCAGCAAGCCATGGAGAAGTTCGGGGCTCAGATCTCCGAGGGTATGAAGGCAAAGGGAGTGAACATCATCAACGCCAGTGGCCAGGATGTCGAGTCCTTTGCATACCGTGGGGATGATGCGGCCTACTTTGTGTCGGCGTCAAAAGGAAAGGTCGCCCATGGCTACTGCGGACACTTTACTAGTGGTGGAGACAACATCAGGATCCTTGTTAATGACAAGACGGAGAACCAGACCAACCTGCCCTTTCACTCAGTGTACAAGTACGAAGGGCCTGGCAAATGGACTGAACTGAAGTAGTGAGTGAGCCAGTAGAGCTGGTCTATGCTTGTGAACGCAGCGCCCTTGAACGCGCCATGATGTTAGCAAGCCTGGTTTAAGTAACTCAAGTGGCGTGTCAGCAGGTGCGCTGCAGGCACAATCTTGCCTTTATGTTTGCTCCATGGCTCCACGTCGAGAACCTATCAACATGTGTTCGCTTGAGTTGATTGTGTTGTTTTGTTCAAGCAAGTCTTTCAGCAGTTGGCCGACATAGGAGTGCTGGGAACTGGGAAGACATCCGGCAAATGGTCTCGTCCGAGAGGCAGAACAAACAGCGACTTGTTCTCGGGGCATGGGCAGAATTGGCTTTGTCAATTCACACGCGCAT